GGGCATACAGCTGACTGGACAGAACCCTCAAAAGACAGAATTTTGGGAAAACTGTAATACCTTCAACCAGAAATATTTGAAAAGTAAACCTTTCTGAAAGGTTTACCTATTGTGCAAATATGTAACTGTTGTATTTTTATCTACATTAACATAATTAACATAATATTTCATTATTAACATAAACAGAAGAAAATCTGCCCTTGAAGGCAGATGGTTTAATTCACCAAGTAAGTCTTGTAATAGAATTAAATCATGGTGATTAGAATTGCAGGCTGTGCAGTGCGATGGCTGAGGTTCAAATCCATACAACCTGCTGACCCTCTGTGATCAGCAAGCCTTTGGTATCAGGTGTCTGACCTTCAGTCCTTTTCATCTCAAACAGGTCCTGCTAGGGTAGTAAGGGAAGCTGAATTATAATAAGTGTTATGTTTATCAAAGTGCCCAGCTCATAATAATTACTCCTAGAATGGCAGTGGTGATAGTTGGAGCCATAGTTAGAAGAAGTTATCGTTAATCATGATTTAACAACAACAATAATAATAATAAAAGGATAGAGCAACACTGGTAGAACCACTTGGGAAAACTATTTGACACTGTTGGCCAGACTGAATATTTGCATAATCTGTGGTTCAGTGATCCTCTGTGTGTGTGTGTGTTATATTTGTATATACACATGTATAACCATCAGGAATGGATACTTCACCAAAAGACATACACTAGAATGTTCATAATAATACTGCTTGTAATAGCCAAATGCTGGAAATACCCAAATGCTCATCAAGAGTAGAATGGATAATATGAAAGCTATAACCTAATAACAGCCTAAGAATATGGGGAGGGAGGAAGGAGAGGGGAGGGGAGAATGGGTGGAGGGAGGGGGATTGGAGGGATCACTTCTGAGCTTTATCTTACAAGGGTACAAGTGAATCTTTCTAAGAGTAGAATGTGAACATTTTAAAATAATAACTAAGAAAATGACATGAAGGCTATGTTAACCAGTTTGATGGAAGTGTTTCGGATTGTGTGTGAAAACCCCGCACTGTACCCCAGAAGTACATTAATGTACATAGTTTCCATTCCAAAAAAAAATAATAAGAGTAGAATGTATAGACTCAGCGCCTGTAGCTCAAGTGGCTAAGGCGCCAGCCACATACACCTAAGGTGGCCAGTTCGAATCCAGCCCCAGCTCGCCAAACAATGATAGCTGCAACCAAAAACTAGCCGGGCATTGTGGCAGGTGCCTGTGGTCCCAGCTACTTGGGAGGCAGAGGCAGGAGACTCGCTTGAGCCCAGGAGTTGGAGGTTGCTGTGAGCTGTGATGCCACAGCACTCTACCCAAGGGGACAGCTTCTGTCTCGGAAAAAAAAAAAGAGTAGAATGGATAAATACCTCATGATATTCAAAATTTATGGAACAGTACACAGCGATAAAAGTGATCTGGAATGACATGCGAGGGTATGGATGACATTTGCACAGCCAAACAGGAAAGATCATATACCATATGATTGCACAGATACAAAACAGGCAAAAGATCATGTGTATGTTCGTGTTGTAGAAAATACTGGCTCTTGTTGGAAGGGGTGGCACGCACAGTAACCAGAGGCTGTCATCAGGAGTTTCTGAAGCTCTTGATCTGGGAGCTGGGTACATGGGTGTGTTCGGTTTGTAAAATGTCACTTACCCATTTACTTATATATATGGCAAAGTACACATGCTATGAAACAGAGTTTTAAAATATATAGAGGGCATTCTGATGGCTCGAAGAGACAGTAATAACTAGAAAAGTCTGAACTACCTAACTCCTGAACCTGAGTTTCCAAATGCACAGTATGTCATAGTATTGGGGGGAGGAATTGGATAAAATTAAAGTATCTGAAAGCATCCAACTCATAGTGTGTTCTCAGTGAAAGGTGACATAATCTTACCCTGCTGTCGGGATTGTTTGTACTTTGATTAACATGAACATAGTGTTAACATTGGAGATGGGATTTTTTTTGGTCAAAAATCATCTTTAATGCAACTTCTCTTCCCCAATGCTTATAACAGAATTATTCATGCAACAGGGATACTCAAGCAACCCTGATTAGTCTATTAATTTAAAATACATGCTTTAAAAAGAATTTAGAGTTGGCGAAGAAAATTATTCACACTGGGTGAGGTAGCTCATGCCTATGATACCAGCACTTTGGGAGCAACCAAAAGCGTGAATTTCTTTAAATTTCACATTAATTTGAAGGGACATACAATTAGGTTACATTGTTTGCATTGTAAGGTGAAGCCCAAGTTCTGGTTGTGTCTTCCACCTAGGAATGTCCCCCACACGTCATATGCTTGAACATTGTTCCCACTGACCCTCCTCCGCTGTCCCCCTTCTTGAATCTAGTTGAGTGAAACCTAGAATTTAGGTTTCAGAATTTTGCTTCTAAACAGTGTGTAAAGTACCATCTCCCTGCAAAGGTTTGTAATGGGGTCACTAGTCTAGAGCAAAATCCCTGTTAGCTGAGGGCTTTTGCTCTAGACTAGTGGCCTCATTACTCTGAGCTGTTTGGTTACTTAACCTCAAAGGATGACCCCACACAGGCACCCACCCGGATCTGGCCCTGAAGTCCCAGGGCAGTCCTGACAACCGCTGGTGCCTGTCCTTCAGGGGAACGCTGGCCGCCCTGAGATTCTTAGCAGCTTCCCCTTGAGGATTTCAAAGCTAAGCAAAGCACTGTCACATGACTTTCCATCTCTCTATACCTCGGGTAGCTGTCACTGTGGATGAAGTGGAGGAGAAGCCGCCGAGCAACACGCATGCCCATCACAGGCGTGAGCACCACCGCCCCGCACTGCGCGGCCCCGCCCTGCTCCCCCAGGAAAGCCAGTGCCTGTGCACAGTCGCGGGGTCCATCTATAATCCTGCCTTTCCCTTCCAGTTCTACAGGCACTCTGGGGCCTCCCACGCATCACCTGGCTTTTCCCTCCACAGCCCATGGCACACGTCTGTCCTCTCCCTGCCTTTCCATGCCCTGCTGAGGCTCCAGACCCAGTTAAAGCCCCACAACCTTCCCACACCTCTCAGCGCGCAGTACCTGGAGCAGAAGCGCCCTGTCTGCAAGTGACGGCGTCAGCCTGTGCACTCCGCAGGCCGGCAGGAGGCGCTGCTGCTGCTCGGTCCTGGTGGGGACCAGCACAGTTCTGGCCACGAGCTGAGACAGGGATAGACTGATTACATTGGAAACCCGTGGATGGCCTAGGGGTCCCCTGTGATGCAAGAGTCACGGCAAAGCCACCAGAGGGAGCCCCAGTGCTAGTCCAAAGACGGTGAGTCCCTACAGGAATACTGGGTTTCAGGAACAGGGCGGCAGCCAAGTCCAAGCCCTGCTAGTACCAATTTGGATGTGTTATTAAAAATAAGCCCATTTTCCTCATAAAATAGTTAGGCACCGGGTTAAAATAGTTAATTCTAGGGTCATTGCGAGAATAAGCAAAGAAATGAATGGAGCCCATTGGGGCATTCAGCCTCCGTTTGTCAGGGGTTACTGCCAGATGATAGACCGTGGCATCCTATGCAGAGGTTGGAAGATATAGCTCAAAATGCACTTGATAAGAAAAGACAATATTTTAAACATAGACAGCTTACTTCATAAAATGACATTTTTGAGGGTGGGCCTAAAGTGTAAAGGTCTGGTGAACACCGCCATGCACTCCTGCAAGGTCCCTGACTTCATCACACACTGCCATGTGGCTGAGTCAATCCAGCACTCCCCTGGTCCTTTCCTCCCGGGGTGGGGGGTGGGGGGGGCGGCAATAACGATTCTTACCCCTTTTTAGTCTACATCAGTCTCCCCCCCACCAAACACTGACATAATGAGATGCTTTTGTAAATGAATGGCTTGGTTCTATTTCAAAATAGTAAATCTAACTTAATGGAGAAAAACAAGGCATGTAATTAATATTTTACTGTTAATAGCATAGGAAAAATTCAATATGGAACCCTGGAGCAAGAAAAATCTATTTACAATGAATGGCACAGAAGTGCCAAATCCCAAGTCTTCGGTAAATGCATCCTTTTGGTAGTGAATTAATACATGAACCTGCAACATGGGTAGTTTATCAGACCAGCTTTACAAATCACTATTAATGTAAGTTACCAAATGGCTATCTAAATTTACAAAACCCATAGACTTTGAAAAAATAGGTGGCAAGGCTGCATGAGCTGTTTAATGGCTTGACTGGTATTTCCTGAAGGTATTAGGTTCTTTTCCTTTTCCCACTATCACATTAGACAAAGAGACAAGTTCCTTGAACATTCACAAAATTATTTTATTGGCTATTTTGAGAGTCCCTGTGCATTTCAATCCCTGATGCCCAAGATTCAAAACCTTGTGAGCCAGTTAGAAACCCCTGCTACAGTCCAGCCCCAACCAAATGGCCAGGCAGACACCCATCAGAAGTGAAAGTCAATTTTTCAGGAAGATCTGGCTTTCCCCTTGGGGTCTTGCATTTTAGCTACTAGAGGTCTTTAATTCCTTACCTAACATTCCACAATCTAAAAAGTTATGTAAACAATATATTTTCACAAACCAGTAGCATAATCATTTGCCAGCAAAATTTGACCACTTATGGGATACTTACAAACTTTATCTCTTCTGGGTAGTCTACATTTTGTTGCAGAAATATATGTATCTATGCTAATTTGTACGGTCTCAGACTCTGTCAATGGAGTTCCAAAACATATAGAATGTGCAACGTTCTTTCTAAAATTCTAAAAATTTAGACTTTGAAAAAACATCTGCCTCCCAGAAACATAAGGAGTCCCAAGCATGTGCCCAACTTTGCTGGGAGCCAGCGAAGTTTTGTGGGTCCTATCACCACAGTTTCTTTAGTCTTTCAGGAAAATAAGAACATGTGGAATATTCTGTGTACCATGGAAAGAAGACATAGCTCTCAGAATAAGATCCTCTACCGAAGGTGGCATAGTAAGATTCTGTCTTAAAAAAAAAAAAAATCCTCCAGATCCTCCTTATGGGAATTTTCTTTGTGGAAGATAATATTTCTTCCACTCTGGATAGTTTGGCAAATAACGAATAAATATTTTTCCTCTAAGGCGATTCCTTTCCATTAAAAGCATCTGACATTGTCTTTTATGGAGGAAAAAAGAATTGGAAAAGGCGAGCCTATTAGCATGAGGGCTACATATGACAAGTACTGGTTGCTTCCCAATCCAGCAACATTAACAATTTATCATATTTAGAAATGGATTCCCTGGATGCAGAATTTATAGACATTTACATCCACAGAAAAGTCGGGGGTGGAGAGGACTTAACTTGGACTATGCTATTTAAGGAGAACAGAATTTGCCCAAGAACACGATGTTCCGAGTTTTGTTGTGCCTGATGATGTAAATAAATGGGTGGTCGGCATTGAACTCATCCTTGTGCTGCAGGATACGTGACCCTGGCACCTCAATGGAATCCCCACCATCTTCAGTGATTTCTAAGCACACTCTGTGAATAACATTTGACAGGGCCACTCCCTTGGTCTCTGACATGCCAGAGAAATCAGATGTCGCCTCGTTAAAGGCATTTTTCAGCCCTAGGTTTTCCAGACTAGCCTTGGAGTCAATACTCTTTTCCACCTTAAATTTTGGAATGGAGAGTTTGACTTTGGTGTTGGCCATGGTGCTGGGATTCATCCACTGCAACAGCGACTCTGAGCTGAGTTGCTTTTCAATCTGAAGAACAAAAAGGAAAAAAGATTATTTTTACTTATCTCTAATGGTAAAGATCTTGTTTGACTAAAGCATAAAATTTTATAAGAAGCCTAGTTTTGAAGCTGTCTGGATAGACTATCCAGCTTTGTTCCCCTCACCCTACAACAATGCTCCCTTGGCACTGAAATTTATGAGGGCAGGGGTTTTGTTTTATTTTGTCTTAAGTTATAGGGTAGCTTTAGAGAAACAAATGTAGGGATTATGATGTTTTATACAGAATAATGAGAAGAACATAACATTAGAAAAGTTTTTATACATATTCTTGAATGCTTATTAAAGTTATGTACTAGATGTGGCATCAAATTTGATAAATTAAAGCTAAAGTTATCCTTTTTTAAATGGGAACTCGAACTCTGAGTCATTCTTTATGGTCACAGGTGGTGAATGCGTATATTTCGGCTGGTTTAAACAATGAGATATATGCAATGGAAGCATAAAATTACTGAGTCATAACATTCTTCATCAAGCAAATCTCAGATTTCTCCTTGTCCTCACACTCTCCCCACTAGTTAGAGGAGAAACACATGTACAACCTAGAACTATTTTCTTGGAGCAACAGTACCCCAGCATTACTCATATGAAACCTCTAAAAATCAGGACCACAGCAAGGTCAAAAGCTGGGCTGTCTGTTTTTTTGTTTGTTTTTGTTTTTGTTTTTGTAGGGGAGAGAACTTTTGTACGCTCTTGCTACTCTATTATAATTACTTTTCAGTGGATATTGTTTGAAGTTTTGGACAAATTATTAGGATGAAAGGATTGTCGTAAGTCACCGTAGTATTTGAACCAACAGGTACACATATTCCCTATTTCAATTTACCACCCATGAGTGGGAGGAAGAGAAAAATACAATCATAACTCAAAAAAAATACATAAAAGGAAACAAATATCTTCCTTCTGTTGCATACATGTTATGGGATGAACCGTGCCACTCAATCCATGTGCCTAAGTCCAAAGTGAAGTGCCTCACAATGTGACATTGTCTTGGAAATAGGATCATTGCAGATGTAATTAGTGGAGATCATCAGAGGGTGGGCCCTAACCCAATGTTACTGGTGTCCTTAGAGAAGGGGGATGTGGACACAGAGCCAGACATGCACACGGGGAGAACGCCACCTGAGGCCCCAGGCAGAGATCAAGGGGAGCATTTACAGGCCTGGGGACACCAAAGAGTACCAGCAACCTCCAGAAGTCAGGGGAGATTGCCCCTCACAGCCCTCAAAGGGCACTAGCCCTGTTGATACCCTGATCTCGGATTTGCAGCCTCCAGAACTGAGAGAAGATAAATTTCTATTGTTTCGGCCACCTAATTTGTGGCACTTTGTTATGGCAGCCCCAACAAACGATACAATATGTATTCTTAAATATTCCTTTCTGAAACTCAAAAGATCATTTTCTGTAGTTCTGTACCGTAAAAAGAAAAAAAGCTGGCGCTCATTTAAAGGTATTTTAGTAAGTTAAGGTAAAATCCAAAACAGCTTAATAGTGGTTCATAGATTCAGGCATGAGAGTGAATTTAAAAAGAGAGAGAATAAAAGCCAGAGAAGGGATAAGGACAGGAATTCAGTTAACGAAGTGATGGATAAAACAGAATGACAACTAAAGTTAAGATGGGGACAAGGTCAGACTGTCCCCTGGAAAGTCAACAAGTAACTGAGGGCAGACTGGAAATCCAGCAAGTGATCCCTGGCGCTTCAAACAGCCTCGTCTTCCTTGCTGGCTAAGGGTTAAGGCCCAGGTGTGGGGAGCAAGAAGGGAAGCCAGGGAGGGCACCTGCCGGAGAGCCCCAGGCAGCAGAGGGGATGCCAAAACTCCATTCACCGGCAGATCAAACCGCTACTTTTATTTAAACCTTATAGTCTGTATAAATATAAATATAACTTTACAATATAAAATACATATACTATATATTATATAGTATAATAGAATCTGTATAACATAAAAATTTGAAGAATAAAATCTCTATTTGTGTGTATGTATTAAGACCCCATAAACGTACAACAAGGAGAGTGAAACTTAATGTAGACCGTGGACTTGAGTTAATAATAATGTAACGATTGTAACAAAAGTACCACACTAATGCAAGCTGCTAATGAACAGGAGGAACTGTAGGACTGCGAGGGGGAGAGGGAGTATGTGGGAGCTCTCCCTACTTTCTGCTCATTTCTATGTAAGCCTGAAACTGCTCTAAAAATTACAGCAAGCCTACTAATTTAAAAACAGAGAAAGAGGCCAGGCATGGCGGCTCACGCCTGTAACCCTAGCACTCTGGGAAGCCAAGGAGGGTGGATTGCCTGAGCAGACAGGTTTGAGACCAGCCTGAGCCAGAGCAAAACCTCATCTCTAAAAATAGCTGGGCACTGCGGTGGGCACCATAGTCCCAGCAAGTCGGGAGGCTGAAGCAAGAGCATCACTTGACCCCAAAAGTTTGAGGTTGCTGTAAGCTATGATGCCATAGCACTCTACACAGGGTGACAAAGTGAGACTCTGTCTTCAAAAAATAAACAAAATAAAAAACAAATAAATAAAACAAAGAAAGAGGGGTGGGAGAGCTTTTGCTCTCACAATAGTGGACTGGCCGGTATATAGCAATTTGGTGCCTGACTGCTGAGATGAGGGAGGTACTCCAGCCTAGAGGTGAGAACATGCCCCCAATCTTCCTGGGCTCAAATCCTAATTCTGCAGACCGCTGAAGAGTTATGAGACCATGGACTAGTTACCTACCCCACCCCTCTATGTCTCAATTCTCTCATTGGTACATAAAAATAGGTAAATGCCTCTCACTCCTTGGACTGTTGTAAGAGTTAAATGAGATCGTGCACACAGGCAACTTAGCTGGTTCTTGATACCTTGTAAGTGCCAGATAAATGTTAGATGTTTTTAATACTAAGGAGTAAAGGTCCCAGAAGGACCAAGGAACTCTTGGGGGTCACTGAGCCAGTGGCAGTGGCAGTAAGGCAGGGCTGTACCCACTTATCACATCCACAAGCAGCTCTGTCCATGCATCACCTTGCCATGGGGTGGGAGGGAGGGGGGTGCACCTTTGTGTAAACACCTGCCTCCTCCTTACCTTCTCCAAGCCTGTTGACTCGTCCTCTATGTCCTTGGGCAGTATGATGACCATGCTGAGATGCTTATTTTCTAAAGGGAGCTCTATGATGCTAGCATTGATACTGTCGATGTTACCCATGCAGAATGTGGCCTCCAGATTCATCATTTGCACTGGTTTGGTGTCTGTCTGTGAAAGGAAAGATTTGGACTGCTTACTTTTCAATTTACACAAGCACAAATATATACACACATATACACACATACACATATATATATAACCATATGTAATATGTATTTACAATACAATATATAATACATATAGATACAAATTTGTTCTTGTTATAGTGTCAAACAGTCATGGCTCCCATCCACTGGGATCCAAACTATACTATACAACCAAAACCTCAGAGACTGTCCTCTGAAAAGTTTATGACTTCTTTTAGAAAGTTCATGCACTTTATAATCCCATGTGTTATACATTACAGGAACTCTATGCAGTACTACAGGGTGTCTCAAAAGCCACCATACATGGGGACAAAATAAGAGATTGTCATTAAATGTACCTTTATTTTAAACATATTCTTTACAAAATTTTAGAAAATACTCTCAACATGTTGGCCACACAAAGCCTTCCCTCCTGGCCATGGGGAACACTTGCCAAGATATCCTTTGTTATGCGTAGGGAGACTTTTGGAACACCCTGTATATCACATAGATAAAACACTGAAAATAAGGTGGTATGGCTGAAAACACGGGCAAAGTCGAAGTTAGTCTTTATAGATGCCTAGAATCATGAGATCTTTAAACCATTCCTGGGGGAGCTAACTTGAAAGTAAATTCTACTGCACATCTGCGTGGGCATCTATACAGCTCTTCCAAACAGAACACCTAATTTTTAAAACTTGCACACAGCAGGACAACACCATATTTGTTTTGACCTCTCTGTCAGTCTTTAGCTTGAATCCCCCACTCCTCCCAGGACTGGTTCTTCATCTGCCTGAGCAGATGAAGACACTCTGGATTGGAAATAAGAACCTTGAGTTTTAGTCCCAAATGTGACATAAACAGATGCTATGACCCTGAACATGTCATTTAACCTCTCTGGGCCTCAGTATCTTTCTCAGTGGAATGAGAAAATTGGTAAATTCAGAATAATAGTTACCACTTGGGAGGAAGAACGAGAATGAGGATGGGGTGGTGAGACACCGCCAAGGCAGTGGAACTGTCCTTATATTTTTTTCTTTTAGATATCTGAAATTAATGAGGCAAAATATTAAGTTTACAAAGTTGGCTGATAGATAGATTGGAATTTGTCTTATTATTCTCTATAATTTTCTGAGGGTTGGAACTTTTCATGACTTTAAAAAATGAGAATGTTTAAAAATACTATTTCTAAGCTCCTTTGAGCTCCACTGCACACCCTACAACAGACCCATGAAAGGGTCTTACTGCCCAGGTCTTTAACTATAGGTGCCACCCAGGCCTTTCCTTCTCTCTGTCCCCATTACTATCTCACCTCTTGTCTTTGCTCCAGAGGTAACTGATTGGCTCAAGGTAAATTCATTCATATAAGAAGTAAAAATTAAGCCGGGCACAGTGGCAGGGGTGCCTGTAGTCCCAGCAACTCAAGCGGCTGAGGCAAGAGGATGGTTCACGTCCAAGAGTTTGAGGTTGCTCTGAGCTATGACACCACGGCACTCTACCCAGAGTGACAGAGTAAAACTCTGTCTCAAAAAAGGAAAAAAAAAAGTAAAAGACTGATCTAAATTGTATGTAATTTATTACCTTGATATAAACTTCCCATGAGATTTCTGCCTGTCCACTAAATCTCTCTGGGGGGAAATGTCAAGCTTCGTATCAGGCCTGTGAGGACAGCACTGCAGGAAAACTTCTATCTGGGATCTTTCAACAGCAATCTGAACCTTAACCTTCCTTATTTTACTTTTTTACCTGCCTCTACTTGAACACTTGCCACAGAGTTAGAAACATTTATTTAGGTGATTGTCTTTCCACTTGCCGCCCCCCACCCCCAACTAGAATATAGTTAAAGCAGAATCCATGTCTTATTTTCTGGGTATGTCCCAGCTCACTAAGTATTTGGCTGCTAAATAATTGTAGATTTTAAGTCTATGTATCACCAGAAGTAGAATGTGGTAGACAAAACATGTTACTTTTGAAATCAACTGATAATTCTTGCTGAGCCACATTCCTTCCCCCTAAAGAAAGATACTATCTAAAAATATATTCATCCTAAAGAAATTTGTCTAGAAATCTCATCAAGTTTGATTGCTAACAGGTTCTGGATTTACTCTTGTAGCTCCCAAAAAGTATCATTAGTTTTACTTATTACTACTGAATATGGGTACAGTAATTTATTTTCTGAAACACAAGTCAAGACACTTCTGAAACCAGGGCCAAATAAAGACTATGTATCCCAGAAAATAGAGTACCATTGCTTCTCAGCCTTTTGGCTAAAATCAAGTGTAGAAAATACAGTACCATATATATACAAATATATGGAAATACATTTTGTCAGGACAGATACTATACTAAATACATATCTTTTTTTTAATTTTCTCTATACATGTACATGTGTTTATTTAAATAAAATATTTATTTTATTTTTGCCTTCACAACCTTAAAGAGGCTTAAAATTTAATAACAATAACGATGTTTAAGATAAGGACTAGAAACAAAAACCTTGTAAAGAATGAACGAAGATAAATACATTCAGAAAAGAAACCAGATGATTGCTGCAATGAAATATTGAGCAGTAATAATAATGCAAAAAAAGTAACATTCACATTGTCAGATAAAAGTATGTCTATCATAGAATGCTTTGACTCTGATATATATCTTTTCACTCTAAATATATGTCTTAATATAACTTAAATATAAATATAATATAACTTCCCTAATTTAACCTAACTCTTAAAGGATACACCATAGGACATGGGAAAATGTTTAGTGATGTGAAAGGATTCAACAAAAGTAATAACATCTGCAAGCAAAAAGAGGGTGTGTCCCCACACATGCTTGAGTAGCACTTTATGGCTTTATTAAATGAAACACTGAGAGATCAATGACATTTCAAATCCTCGTTAATTCTGCTCATAGAGTCTGAGTTTCCAGGATCTGATACAACATAACTTTATGATTTAATAACAAGAATAAAAGAATAGCCCACATCCTTCCTCCCTTCTCAAAGACACTCATTAACACCTTATTAAAAGCAAAAACTACAAAGACACAAAAGTCCATGTTCCACTCAGTGACTAGTACAACATTTTCATGATGTTCCTTCCACCCTGGCCTTAGGGCCTTGAGAAGAGGCCCTGTTAACATGTTTCGGGTTTCATTTAAACACAGTCAGGCCGCCTATGCCAGCCCAGCCCAGGGTAGAGAGCCAACCACCAATCAAATGGCAAGAAAGGCCACAAGGACACCATCAGGGCTGCTGGGGCCAACACCCCTCCCCAACTCACAGCAGAAGCTGTATAAAGTCACATTTCATGTCAGCTCCAGATAAAAGCCATGCTTGAAACTCAAAGACTGGTGTGTGAAAAACACAAAGTCTGAAGAGTCTAAGGTTGTATCCCTAGAATCTCAGCCACACCTCTTGTGTACAAGGTCAGTCCTGTCCCTACAGTCAGCATTGAGGAGACCACTGCCACAGGAAGCTAAGTGCAGGACAAGGAAATAGGAGGTCTTCCTGGCTCACCACCCCAACACCAACATTCTGGGTATTTTGAATGGGTAGCAATAGTAGTTGTTATTCTGTTCAGGTGAAAATGCCCAACAGACTTTGCATAGGGACCACTAGTAGCACCAAAGGCCAAACAGCTTTTGTCGGCTGACCCTTAGGAATTGATTGATCACTCAGCAAATTTGCTGAGCATGTATTGTTATGTCAGAGACATGGGCAGGAGTTGCAGGCACTAAGATATATAAGCCATTGTCCCTGCCCTTAAAAAGCCCCTGTACTATGGAGATCTAGGTAAGTAAAAAGTTAGATTTCACTGTGGAAAACACAGTCAGGGAAGGGAGTATGAATAAAAACTCCAGGGAAATAAATAAAAGAGTAATAGAAGCCAGCTAACCCAAGTATAAATTGCATCTTGAAGGGCTTTTCCTCCTGAGTTTTAGCATTAAGAAGGTGCAACTATTGACATACTTGGCAAAAACAAAAGCGATTGATGCTAGGTACTCAAGGTGCTGGGAGAAACATGAAATCTAAAACTGATGCAGAGAAACTGAAAGGTAAATAATCTGCCTTCAAGTTTTGTGCTAACTGAAGTATTTCTTTGAGTCTGGATTCTTAACACAAGTCCGATCCCACCAAATGAGACTGCATCACATCATCATATCAATTCCTCAGTTTTCCTGTTCTCTAAGGAAATGAGTCAAATATCCAGTCTCATTTTGGTTGAATTTACAAAATAAATACTTTATCTGTTTCTATTAATTATTTTTGACATATTTACCTCACTAGTATTAATGAGACTGGCCTGCTCTGATTCTTCCCCCAAATCACTTACCCGTTGTTCTTTTTTTTTTTACAACCAACAAGTATCTCAAAGCATCTTATAAATTATAAATTAAAATACCAGAACTTCTATTTCACTATCCATAGGTGAGAAATTGAGATCATGAAGAAGTAAATCAATCAGGAACAAGATTTGCAAATGGTCAAGTTTCCATGATGATCCAAAGGCCTCTCACAGATAGGGTTGGAACTGTCTTGCTAACGTTCCCAAATACTTGTAGCTATTTTCTACCTGATGATTTTGCTTCCCCCACTGGGTTGTAAGTTCTATAAAGTTTCACTCAGGCCTCTGAAGACATTCTAGAAAGAAGTGAAAGAGGGTCTCTGGATTATAGTTCTCTTTCCATCTCTTGCCACCCAGCTGTTCATCCCAGGAAAGGCACCTCCTATTCCTGCAGATCCCTCATTGGAATGAGCCCTTATGCCCTTCTGTTGCTATTATTTTTTACATCTATAATTTGGATCCTTTACTACCCCATGCTGCCTCATATACCTTGTTGACTCTGAAAGGATGTTCTTTCGTTTCCGACTCAGGAAATTTCTTCATCCACTTTCCAACAAAGTAGGCAGCATTAACCATGAGGATTTTAGTCTGGTCATTCACACTGTTGTCAGCTAAAATGCTCTCAAAGTGGCCTGCAAGGATTTTAGAAAAACACAAATAGCAGAGTTATTATTCCAAACTACATCTGATATTTGCAGGCATATTTTTTTCTCTGAGTATTTACCACTTTCTAGTATCATATCCCTTAAAGTCTGGTGTCCCAGAGCATTTAATTTTAGAAGGACTCTTTTCCTTTCTTCTACCTTGGATTTAACAAAGAGGTCATGGAAGAAGAGTGGAGAGAAAAAAAAAGACAAGAACTAAGAAGAAAATCCCAGTTATCACATTTAAATGTCTATTCTGTGTCAGGCAGTATGCAAGGTATTTGATACATATGATATCATATGTGTATTGGTCCCTACTTTATAGATGAGCAAGCTGAGATTCATCGGTGATGTTAAGTCACTGGCCTAAGATGACATACAAGCAAAAGGAGGTTCAGATTCAAAGCCAGGGCTTTCTGACTCCGTAGCCTGAGTTCATGAATGAACATGCATAATCATTGGCTTTACATCTGGCCCTGTGCTCAACATTTTCCCATATATTATCTCATTTTTTCACAACAGTCCTATAAGGCAAAGATTATTATCCCCATTTTATACTAATAGACTGAGGCTTAGAAAGACCAAGTGGCTGTCCTAGTTCACTCAGCTGGAAAGTATGTCTGAAGGCCCTCTCCTTCACCCCATAGCCATCCACCCACTTCCCCAACTGCACTCCTTGCAGGCAGGCTGTGTGCCTCAATATCACCTGAAATCACTATGAGATTCAAACATAATTAATTATTAGAGAGCTCAAATCCCCAGTAGCCAAAATAGTTCAAGGGTGATAATACCTTAATAAAAAGAACTTCTCGCATTTGAACAGCATGTGAATTTTTTACAAAATGTTTTCATTTACCTAAATTTCTGATTTTCACATCAATGTCCAGGGTCCACTTCAACAGTTCTGTGACCTCTGTATGAAGGGCCATATGTTTGACTTAATATTCAGCTATCACCATCTTAAAATTCTTATTAAATTTTTAAATAAGGGACCATGCATTTTCAGTTTTGTGCTGAACCACACAAATTATTTAGCTGGTCTTTCCAAGCTAAATGATGTGTTAAAGCTCTGTCAGTGTCATTGAAGAAACTGGAAGAGCAAAGATGGATGGAAGCTAGTCACTAACACAGCTTCAACTTAAAACCCGAGCATCTAACCTCAAATTCACAAGGCTTTTCACAAAATTACTTCCCCTTAGCTCGGCACCCGTAGCACAGTGGTTACAGCGCCAGCCACATACACCGAGAGTGGTGGGTTCAAACCTGGCCCCAGCCAGCTAAACAACTGCAACAAAAAAAATAGCTGGGCATTGTGGCAGGTGCCTATAGTCACAGCTACTTGGGAGGCTGAGGCAAGAGAATCGCTTAAACCCAGGAGTTTGAGGTTGCTGGGAGCTGTGACGCCACAGTACTCTACTGAGGGTGACATTATGATCACCATTAAGATGGTGAAATAAAAGCCCCTTTGAGAGAAAATACAATTTAGAAATTCTGAAAGCAAACCTATTTCGCAGCAATTTAAACAGGTGCTGCTTTTTGCTTTTAATTTTTTACATTGTGCTTAACCTGATGTTACTTATACCAAAGCTGCTTCTTTACATATGAAACTAAAGGAATGTCAAATAAAGTATATTTTTATATATGATATGTATGTATGCATGTGCGTGTGCTCGCATGTGTATCTATGGGTACCATTTGTTGGTTTACATTACCTAATATGGTCCTCACAGCAACCTGGTAAAAATTAGATCACGTACTATATGGCCCATGTTACAGTAAGTTGAGGCTCCATTTGTAAATGTAATTGCAATGCAGTTATAATATAATACAGTTAATAAATCGCTGTCCTTGGATTTGAATCTACATTAAGGTGACCAGACGTCCCCTTTTGGCGGGACAATCCCAATTTCTAACAATTTGTCCAGCCTCCTACGGCATTTTTTTAAAAGTCCCGATTTTTGGAAAGAATGCACAGCAAGCTAGGGAACGGGACAAGGGGAAGGGAATATAGGGTTTTTGGCTGCTGAAAGGTTAATGTAACTCCATTTGGGAATGAAGAGGTTAATATAACTTCATTTGGAAATGAAAAGGCTCATGTAAACGCCCTACTCCCTCCTGGGCAAGGTCACCCAGGTGGAATCCGTATCAGAAGGATACTGGCTCCCTCCCTCATTTCTAGGCAAGGACAGTGAGCTCAGAAGGAGCCAAACTGTCTGGAACAAACAAGTAGCCCCCCCTCACCCCCAGTTTAAAGTGACCAGACGTCCCACTTTTGACGGGACAGTCCCAATTTTTAATAATTTGTCCCACTTCCTGCAGCATTTTTTAAAAGTCCCAATTTTTGGAAAAAATGCATGACAAGCTAGGGAATGTGGGAGAACAGGAAGGTAATATACGGTTTTCGGCTGCCATGTGGCTATTTCGCCAGGATATGAGTTTTATATATTTTTTTAATTTTATAATGTTAAACTTTAATAATAACAAATAATCATTGAGAACTGATTATCGAGAACTGCTTATCAAAGTTTGCATTGTTGTCAGGCCCCGAACCCCAGCCCCGCCCCCGTCAGTGGTGTCCCGCTTTACCACTGTTAAAATCTGGTCACCTTAATCTAGATGCTGAGTGAATCCCCAGTGTTTTGTACACCCTCACCCTGCAGTTACCGCCCTGAGAGACCCCTCCCCTCCTGAATCAGCCCAGGATGGCCGGTGCGGTCGTTCCCACAGGAAGGGAGTCTCCCTTGCCCCGGAAGTGTATCTCCGTCTCTCCGGAGAAGACCCCGATTGCGCATGCGCTTTTCGCCTTCGTGAGTAGGTGCTTTTTCCCGGTGAGTCCTTCCCTATACCGATATAAATATATCCCTTGGGGAGGGGGACATAGTGACTGATTAAACTCAAAATTCTCTTAGCTTCAATTCCTTTCTAGTAAGAAAGACGACTCACTGGGAATTTTAATGGAGGGAAGAGGCGTGGAGAAGGGAGACGCCGCGGGAAGCGCCGCCTGCCTGAGCTAGAGGCGGACGGGAGGTGCTGTGAGAGCAGCGGCCAGCAGGGGGAGCCGTGGCGCTGAGGACAAGCTTCCACGGAGATTTATTTTGTTTTTTCTGTGGCTGGAAGTTTGCCTAGGATCCCATGTCCTTTTTTCCATCATAAATTTGTAGAATTTTTCGAGGAAGCGGCGTTGGGGATCATAAAGTCAAGTCCCTACGTTTCCAGATTTTAAAACCGGCTGTATGATATGCCCAAAGTCATACTTTGTTAAAGGCACAGCTGGGACTCCCCTAAGGTATGCGGCAAGTCGAGGGAGATCAAGGCCAGTAGAACTAAAACCAAAGCACCAGCAATTACTGCCAAGTGGAGAGATGATGCAAGAAATACCCAGAAATCCAAGTTGTTGACATGACTTGACAGGACAAGAATCTAGCTTGTGTACAAAAATATTAAGAAATCCTCCAGATGTTCATTTATTTAATGCTTGGAGCAAGGATTCATAGAAAGTAGTTTCTGTGTACTTAGAGATTTATAGCAGAACAAGTGAAGGGTACTTGCCATCTGTGAGATCCTTAATTGAATTGTTGATCTGACCTTTCGTTTCTTCCAATTTATCTTTGAAGTCTACTATTTCCAGTTCTTTTGCATAGGGTCTCTTAGTACAGCTGATGAACTCCTGAAAAACATGCAGTTCATAAAATCACAAAGTACCTGAAGTCTATAGTAAAGCTATTGCATTGTCACACCGTTCTAGAAAAAGGATTCTTTCTCTTTGGGGGGGGGGGGGGGCTTTTTTTAAAAAAAAAATTTAAGATTAATATGAGGGTACAAATGATTAGATTATAATGTTAGCATTTTGGGGGCAAAGTCTCTGTTATAGGTGTTCTGCACACCCAGGAGGTGTGCCACAAAAAGTTTCTTAAACACCTATTCCCATGGATCAATAACACTGTATGAATTGAAACCTCTTGTAGAAGTCAGTGGATTTTCTTTGTATCGGGCTTTTTTTTTTTTTTTTGCAATTATAAGACAATTCCAATTATTAAATGCATCCACCAATTTAGTATCTGCTTTGGGGAAAACAAAAGAAACGCTGTGTTAAATATACCCAATTATAATATGGACTCCAATATCAGAAACATTAAAATGTTCTATATATATTTTCACATATATGTTAGGATAGAGAAAATGTGTAGAAAAGAGAATTATGAGCAGAAAACTCTTGTCCTCCCTGAAATAAGTAAGTATTCTACAGGCTCTGGCTACTCAAAGTGTGATGCAAGGTGGCACTACAGTATCACCTGAGACCTTGGTAAGAATGAAGAGCCTCAGGCCCCAGCCCAGGTCTGCTGAATCAGAATGTGCATTTTAAGAAAACTTGCAGGTGTTTTATCTACACATTAAAGTTAGGAAACAGTGCTATAGAGAACAGAGCAGTGGCTCTAAGACTTAATACTTGGTAAAAGTACAAAACCCTAAGTCCCATCTCCACTGACCTTGATTTAAGAACTCTGAGGCCAAGAATTTGCCCTTTTAACCCACAGGTAGTTCGGATGCAGGTGGTCCTACACAGACCACACTTGTTTAGACCATTAGCTGATAAATTTGCAGATGTTAAACAACCAACAGGAGCAATAGAAAGCAGTCTTTAAAAAATATTTACAACTCTTGGCCTGGTTGAAATAATTCCAAATATTGAATGAAAGTTCAACAAAACTAAACATAACTTTAATAAATGTCATGTTAGTCATTTCACTTCTAAGCACAAGGCTCCTTGAGTTTCTTAAGAGAAGCTACAGCCTCAGCCAATTAACTTCAGTTAATTGCATACCAACGCTGGGCCTGACTGTTGCCATTGACTGAGAGAGCGGGTGCTAGCTAAGAACATCAGAAAGCTGAAGGGCCTCCATTGTCCTCACTGCCACAACAAAAATGTATTAATCAGCGCCTTAAGGATCAGCCAGGGAGCTTTTAGAAATTTTCCATTTTCAGGCTCCAAATCATATCAAGGGTTTTTTTAGTTCCCCAGGTGATTGTTGGAACAAAAATGATTGTGTATATATGTCCTTAAGCAACAATAACAAACTCACAACCTTATGTGGTTACCCATGTCCTCAAAAGATCTCAAACAGAAAAACCAATACCTGCCACAGAAAGGTGTAAAACTGTGAATAAATCTTTAACTGGGAGTCTAGCTTTTAGATTTGGAAAGCTTGAAATTCTGGCAATCCAAACAGGAAGTAAATAAACTCTATATGACTAGAGGGAGACCCTCCATGTATTCTAGAATGTTGGTTATGTGTTTCAAATTTTAAAAATACTGTGACATACTCTGGGGCCAAATGTAAGTAACACAGTGTTTTCTGTATCATTCCTTCAAGATACGGCTGATCTTAAATACACAGAGCTGCCTTGTATAGACATCCATCTCACCACCTAGTAAAACAAACAGAACCAATTTGTGACTAATAAAAATTGTTGATTCATAGCTGTTTTTCTTATTGATTTTGAGGAACATAAGAACATTGTGTGCCTAAACAAATTAGGTGGTGAGCTTAAAACATTGTCCCAGGCCATATGCCCTAGAGAAAAAGAGTAAAATATTTAAATCATGAGCTGTCTTATACTCCTTGTCCAAATAAACAAGCAGATACATTTCTTAGAGAGTCAATAACTACATTCTCCATTCTCTCAGAGGACACTAAAAGGAAAGGTAAGATTTATGAGTGTTTAAGAGGGAAGGGGAAGCCCACAGCTTCTCTATATTTTGAGCTAGAAGATGTGACTACAATTGATTCCCACTGTATTTGACCATTCCACGGAGTTTAACTTATCAAGCCTCAAATAATAAATAAATACTCTAGAAACTCACTGATAGAAGTTATAAGTCTAACAATGCAAAAGTGCTACTCTAGGTTTTAAAAAAATGTTAGATCATGCTAATTGCTTTAAATAACTTACTGTTGAAGGATTCAGGGATTTGTCTACATACAGCCGCTTGATTAGTTTCAGTGAGTAAAAGGAACTGAGTTTGTTGACATCCGATGTTATTGTTTGAAATCCAAAAGGCACATCTTTGACATTCTCAAAGTGAAGAACCTATTAAGAGAAAAATCCATTACCCAGAAAGCACTGCCCCTTCCCACTGAAGTGGACACATAACAATAGACGGTCTGGGGTGGGGGGGGGTAACTAAGTCTCCCTGCTGAGTTGTTCCCATAAAGCAAGGCTTCTCGGCCTTGGCACTGTGGACATACTGGGCTAGAGAATCCGAGGTATTGCAGGGGGCTCGGCAGCATCCTGACCTATAGATGCCAGTAGCACTCCGCCCCTTTCTTTTCTTTTTTTTGTTTTTCAGTTTTTGGGCGGGGCTGGGTTTGAACCCACCACCTCCAGTATATGGGGCTGGGGCCTTACTCCTTTGAGCCACAGGCACCACCCAACTCTGCCCTTTTATGTAGCAACCAAAAATGTCTCCAGACATTGCCAAATGTCCCCAGAATGGGAAGCAGAGGACAAAATTTTCCCAGTTGAGAAACAGGACCCCAAAGATAGTTTTCCTGATTCATTAGAGGGAAAATTTGTCCTTTCTTCAAAGTGATGCCCTTACTGCTCACACAGAAAGACTTTCAAACTTGAAAAAAGATGAAGCAGGTTATAATTTCTAGGCAAATTTAATGCCAAGAGAGATAATCATTAGGCAGACATCAGATTCCAGGACGGAAGCAGCTCTAGGCAGAGTATCTTCTCCTTCTAGATGCTTCCACAAGAGCCAGATGAACGGACATGCCATGTATGACAGGCAACCACAGCACATGCTGGGCTGCCCTGGGTGCCCAGCCTTTGATTTCCAGCCTTCGCCTACTAGAAATAGAATCTTGTCCAACTCTTCAGAGCCTTCTTTTCCCCTCTGTGAAATGGACTGAGAGTACTAATATCCTGAGTTGTGAGGAAGATTATGCTTTTTTATGTAAAATACCTAAAATATCATATGGATTCAAATTATTAATTATTTTTATACTAATATCCTAAGCCATTTCAAGCCAGCATGCTCTCATTTGCAGGACTGAAATCCTTTTATTTTGGTCCTGACATTGTTTTTGTTCCAACCAGTTACATTCCAGCATCTTCTCCTGGCGCCACAAAATGTGATGTCAGCATAAGATGACTCTCTTCACACCATAACCCATAATGGCCACACCCTGATGCCACACCTCAGGTAACGCCACCAAACCAGCACATTGTGAATCACAGTGCCTCGGCCTGGCAAGGTCAAATTGGCTGGTCCCAGGTGGTTCATAACTCTCATGTCTAATGATGGGGAAGGAGACCAGAAAACGAAAGGGTCCAGGAAACTGCTGAGGAATCAATTTCATGTACTGAGAAGATCTTTGTTATGATTTGGGAACATCCCACTCCCAGGTGTTTCTCTTTTTCTGCCCTTTCTCTAACAGAAGATGAAGTATGAGCAGTGGGAGATGGAGTAGGGAAGGCAGGGTGGGGAGTTCAGGGTGAGGACAAATGAGAAGGTGCGTCGCTTCCTGGGACCAAAGCTGCTCCCTCAAGTCCCACGTGTAAATGCTTCACCCTGACCTTAATAACATTTGGGGGTCATACTTTCTGGGGATTTCTAGATCCAAGAAGGTGTTCACTTTTCAAAGGCTTATAAGCTCATGGAAAAAGGATTCCGTTGAAATTAGAATGAAATGAAATTAGAAGCACATTCACCTATTATCAGAAAGTACATGAGATAAAATAGACCAGTCGGGGAAAGCATCTCATTTGAAGCTCTGAGAACTTTACAAAACTAGATAATCAACCACAGCCAAAAAGGAATCCTAAAAAAATGATACATGTTCCTGGATTTACAAGGAAGTTATGTCCTGATCAAACTGTTGTTAAGTTGAAAATATCTCAAGTCAAAATGAAAAGCATGTGATTACCTGGCAGATCTCCAAGTGCTCCATCACAACCTGGGGCCTGCTTTAAATATGGGTTGCAAGACCCGTAAATGAACTTTCACATTTAAAAATAGATTAAGAGAGTCCTGGAACTGCCACACCTCTCAGTCCTGAGCAATTCTGACCACAAAGTCTCCATTTCTTACCCTATGTACTGCCTTTAGGTTTTAATAACAGTATTCCCACTTAAAGAAGAAATAAGGCATGGTGTTTACCTGTCCAATTTCACTTGCTGTGTCCCCTTTGGCACCAACTTGAGCAAGTGATAGAGAGGTGGAGAGACAAATTGGAGAAAAAATTACGTTGCCCACTGGGTCCTTTTCACACAGTTGTTTAAAAAGATCAACAGCAAAAGCGGAGTTTGCCAGTTGCAGGGCATCCATGGTGAGCCTGGAAGCAAGAGCAAGGGAGAAATTAATTTCTAGACCATCTTTAAGGTGCTCTAACTTCTTTCTGCCAACACAGTAAGAATTCTGTTTCAACAAAATAGTGATCTTGAGTAGGAAAGAGAGAGGAACTTTTAGTAAATTCAAAAAGCAAGCCAGTTGGGGTCCAGAAGGTCCCCTGGGTCGCAGATTTGCCTGGAGTCTCCAAATGGGCCTGCTCAGCCACGTGCCACTTGACAGGAGCCCACAGGTCACACCTGTTCTTCAGCAAGTGGCCAGAGGAGTTGACAGCACTAATCAAAACTGGCTTTATTTATCGCACATTGTTTCATTCAGGATTTCAGTTAAACGATACAAAATTGAAATTTGTAATGATTAAAAACAATCAAATGACATAAGTTTTGTGTGGTTCAATTTAATATTTAGCAAGTGTTATGGGTCAAGTTGTGTCCCCAAAAAAGGTCTGTTGAAATCCTAATCCCCAGTGCCTGTCAATGCAAGCTTATGTGGAAATAGGGTCTCTGCTGGTCCTTCACTAAGTAATTCAGATGAGGTCACACTGGAGTTAGCTGGGCCTCATCCAGTGTGACTGGTGTCCTTATGAGAATAAAAGGAAAGACAGAACCAGACAAGCAGAGAGGGCAGCTGATGAGACGCCAGGAAGCATGCCCTGTGATAGGGGAGGCAGAGGTGGGAGTGATGCTTCTGCGAGCCAAGAAATGCTAAGAATCGCTGGCAACACCAGAAACTAAGAGAAAGGTGTGGAATAGCTTCTCCCCTGAAGGCTTCCAAGAGAACACCGGCCTGCTGACATCTTGATTTCCAAGCACTGGCCTCCAGACGTGGGGGAGAATAGAACTGTGGTTGTTTTAAGCCACCCAGTTCGTCCCTTGACCTTGGCAGTCTCTAAAACCCTCTCGGGGTCCACGAGATCAAAACTGTTCCCATACTAATACTTAGACGTTATTTGCCTTTTTTACTCTCCCTCTCTCACAGACACAGTGGAGTTTTCCAGAGGCTATGTGATATGTCTTCTAGGGAGCCAAACACTGAAGAAATTTGCAGAAATGAAAAACAATGTCGCTCTTCTTCCTGCGATTTTTTGCTTTAGAAAATATTTATTTTATGAAAGTGTTATTCATATTGGCATATAATAGTTACATTGTTGTTATGTTTAAATAGCAATTATTTCAAAGTTTTTCCAGTTGGAATTTCTAGTTTAGTAAATACTGATAGATATAATACACACTTTAAAATAAAAAAACAACTCTTTGAGGTCCTCAGAGTAATTTTTAGGTGAATAAAGTAGGCCTGAGGTTGAGAAAGATTGAGAATCACTGTCCTAATGAGAGGTCTACCTGCCTATTTAGTCTAGGAGTTACTGGTTGACTCCCAAGCCCCTGGGCAACTTCAAACAGTCAGGGCTGCTGCTTTTTCTGGAAGCAACGCTGAGCTGCGTAGATTCCCAAGGCTTTGCCTGACCCCAGGACAGCATGTTCTCAGGGAATTCACTTGATATTACTACCCCTGGGTGATTAGGGCATGGACCAGGGCCAGAAACTTTCCTCCTAACAGTCAGACCCACACACACAGATGGAGAGCAACTAGAACCTCCAAGGTCCTCATGTAGGACGCGCACCCTGGTGTCAGAAAGCGAACTCCTCTAGGCAGAAGCTTTCCCTTCGCCAGGCCCCAAGAGTGTGTTGGAGCCAAATGCACGAACAGGATGGTAATTTGCACCTTGTTCCTGGAGAGAAATTCAAAGCGCAGACATGAAAATAAGAGCTAGGAGTGGGCCCCTGGTCTTCAAATATTTCTTTAGAATTCTCCCTCTTATGGGACCTATGGCTTGTGTGTCGAATGGGCTCAAATACATATCTCCGAGTCTGAGGAGGTTCATTAGCAGAATGTTTTGTTAACCCGGTCCTACTCCCTGCTCATCTCCACTGACTTACTCCTCTCTATGTCCCTGATCAGTACAGCTAGTGCACTCAGCCCAGTGTTCCCATCACAAATCTCCCAAAACATAACCTGAAGTCCGGGTGGGCGTCTTTTCTTTAGCATCCCCACATCCTTATTCCTTCACCTCTTGGTGCAGGGCCAAGAGCCAAGGGGTGACTCACACCCGGTGGAAGCTGACCAGTGCGAGGCGTGTCCTGACACCGGCAGAGTGTACAGAGACAAAAATGGAGGCCTGTGGAGAGTTTCCACCTGCCTGCCCACCATGGGGATACTAAAGAAACCTCTGCACTTTTGGAACAGACTTTCAGAATAAGAAGCCTGGCTTCCTCCAGAGTGAATCTCACACTGATAATGCTGAGTTTGTCTACACCTAAAACTCAGCATGTACACAGAGTCATGAGCTGTGTCTTCACCAACCAGAAAAGCCTAAACCCAGATCCCTCCAAGCTCTTAACACTGCCACAACTTGCAGCCCAATTACACGGATAATAGTATGAAAATACACAAACTATGCTTTAACGAACACAGTAGTTCTCCCCAGCAGTATTTGCTACTCTCCAGAAGAGAAATTAGAATAATTTTGCATCGTCAATAACCAACTATACTTTTTATGATGTCCTTTGTGTAGAAAAACTTTAACACCTTGTTCTAATCTGCTGAGGGAATTTCACTGCAAACACCTAGAAATAGATCCTAGAAGGAAATGTTCATTTTACCATTTCGTTCAACCAGAGCATCATTCATTTAAACATTTTGGGATACACTTAGCCTAAGTGACTCTGTAAATGCAAGATCACTATGGCTTCTACCACAGTTCATTACACAATACTGCTAACACTGTGTTGCAGCTCAAGACTTAGACCCAGGTCCTTACTGGGGAATGTAGATCAGTGCACACCTAACATCCCGCCAGCTGCAGACCCTCCCAGGCACGGCGTCCTCAGTGCATGAGTGCAGACAGTTCTGCCTTCCTGATCCTGGGCTGACTGGCTCACTTCTCAAAAACTTCTCCTTCAGGTTGGAAAGGGCAGGCAGGCCTTACTATCTGAGTTCCCAGCTAAAGAAGCATTGTTGATGCTGGCCAAAAGATCAAGAAAGGTCAGGAAGGGAAATTTTTGTACTGGCAAACAATCACCCACTAAGTAATCAAATATTGCATAGTAAACCTGATCGGTTACTCATAATTAGTCCCAAGTGACCTAAAAACACTCTTGAAGATGATCTGGTCTAAGGTAACTCAAAGGATAACATTGGCCACAACAACTGCTACCTCACTGTGTTGCAAGACAATCAAAGCATTTAAACACATCTCAGCAATATTAGCAATACACACCCAAGAAAAAGCACCAAGTTCCAACATGGACAATTTTGTATAATCAAATGCTACAAAAATTGTAGGAGCAAGAGATTAGCAATTCCTGTATGGTAAATTTGCATGCCTAAGGATTTCTGTTCAAAGTTCTAAAAATCCCTACAATTTTTTTTTCTTCCATTTTTTCACCTTGTTTCAGAAATGTCTTCTTTCCTTTCATGAAAATGCTGTAATAATGTTAACAAAGAGAATTTCATTTATATTGTTTTTGTTGTATTACATAAGTGTAGTTGGTAAGACAATTTCATTTATCTCTAGAACACAGAAAACTGTACATCTTTTAGTTGCTTCCAGGTTTAAAAGGGACTTTTATTTTAACCAGAGAAAGGTGGGATGGGCTTATTTTAAATAGTAATGTGGATGCAGTTTTAAGAATCTATTTCAGAGTGTTTTTATAATATGGCCTAAAATCATAAACCTTTAAAGTGGGACAAGATCTTAGAGAGGATCTAGGCAGGCCCCACCTCTCCATTTGAGAGATTAGGCAGATGAAGATGAAGTAAGTCTCCCAGGCCACCCCCGCAGGGAGTGGCAGAACCAGCCCGGGAATTCATTTCTTCCAGCCTGGGCCCTGCCCACCACACCTCACCAACTGCTTTCTTGGTAATTTCATCTTTGCTGGCATATGTTCTCAGAACTCTATAGAGTTCTAAAAATTTTACACGTCTTAATTATCCTTTAAAAAATACCAAGATATCCTGTGTGCGACACAAAATGTTTTCCCTCTGATTTTCCTGCTTGAAGGAGCTCTTTCTTGCTCTCTTTGTGCCACTGATGCTGCACACTCTCAATGTTGCATTGCTTTTGTCTAACAAGTATTGACTAGTACCTGTGTGTCAGTCAGTGAGGTAGGCGACAAGAAATCCAAGGTCAACAGGAGCTCCTGCCCCCAAGGAGCTGTCAGCTAGTGGCCTGATAAGTGTGACGAGTGTTTTGCTGAGGTGCACAAGTTACCACGGGAACCCCCAGCAGCTCACCTATCCTGGAAGCCTCAGTGTCACATCGTCACGGACAGTAACATCTCGGTAAGTCACACTAAAGGTGAGTCGTAAAGGGTAAGTAGCAGTGAACCAGGCACAGACCTATGCCACAGAGGCCCGGCACTCTTCAGAGACTGTAAGCAGCCCCAGATGGATGAGATGCCTGTACTAGGATGGCAGAGGGGGTGCTCACTCCTCCAGACTTACAGGTTGTCACTGGTCCCATATGAGGATTTCCTAAGTGTTTAATGCATCTAAGCCAATGATCCTCAAACTTTTAGTCTGTGGACCATTTGGCTGAGATAAAGGCTGTCTGGATAGGGTGACTATGGGTGTTCCACTCTGCCTGGGACAGTCCTGGCTTACTTCTCTTGTCCTGGCATTAGTAACACTACCCCTTTTATGCTCAAGCATGTTCTGATTCGAACAATGTTTATCCTACCTAGAGACCATCAACTGCACACAGCACAGCTGTATGCATAGTGTTTTCATCCATTAAAAACTAACTTTTCACTGAGTTAAGGCATTGTACATATCAGCCTAGGCTGGGTCATTTTATAAATGGAGATGTGGTAAAAAAAAAAAAAAAAACCAAAACTTTGGTGTAACTGATCCTGGCAATATTTGTATGGAATGCCTAAAAACATGTCTCTGTTGCCCACATTCTAACTCTGTGAGGAGAAACAGTAGTGCCAGGTAAAGAAAGTAGATTTTACAGCTTCTGCAGCGTGAAAGAATGTTATGAGGGTAAGTGAAGTGTTTAAGTCAGTAAACATCCATGCAAAGTGCTGTGTGGGTGAGCAAGTTCAATGCTGCTATTTGTAATAAGGTTAATTGCTTTACTTTCCCATGGCAGGGGAGCCTCTGCTTTCCTCTGATTTTCTGAAGAATCCCATCTGCTCTGGTGTCTTCGAAGCCTGACCTTGACATCTGCCCCACCCAATAGATGCCTAACGGTAAACTCAGAGCCAGACTCAGCAGAGACGCTGTGACACAGAGTTGCTGGGACCACATAGCCTCAAAGGCAATCTGCAACCAAAGGGATTGAGACCACGCAATTCAAAGTGCTAGGAAGCGAAGATACAAAGCTGTTAACTCATTTTCCATGGAAAACCCTTTCTTCAGACAGGCTTCCATCTCTCCCCATCAAGGACTCACCAAACACTCGCACCGACTGGCAGGGACTGGGGTTAGAAACCCACCTAAGGGTACTGAAAACCTCCTGGGAGATGCAGAGAGTGGAAGATGCGAAGCGAACCCGTGTGTCGTAGAACCATCCTGAGCTGCAAGCTCGGAGGCTAATCTGTGTGACTTTGGACAACACTCACCTCTCTGCCTTCTCCCCATCTACAAAATGAGGGGGCTGAAATGTGTCTAAGAGCCTCGAGCTCCAACAATCTGATTACAAGTCTACGGAGGTGCCTGGCATGTTAAATTGGTTTTTACTATGATTCACTTAAATGAGGCCATTAAAAAAATGTAGAGCCTAGGAATAAGAAACTACAAACAGCCTAATTTTAAAAGTCCAAGAAATACACATCTGAAATGTGTGACCTGTTTACAGTTATGCTGAAACCCAGAAAGGCAGAGGGAGAATGCTTTCTGCCCGGAAGAAGGCAGTTTCAAGTAGATGAACACTAATCCGATGCCTTAAAATGCATAAAAGAAGAGCAATTCGTAAGTCTGAATCTCAGCCCCACATGTCCATCCAGGAAGATGAGCCATAGATGAAAATATTTCTCAAATTTCTCCAGTTTTTTATACCACATCCCTTCAGAAATGAACATTGTCAAATTCATTCTGAGTTCCAGATTAGGGCTGAAAATGTCCTCAGAAATATTTTCCCTTCGACAAATCGATCACTCCCCCACCCGCACCACCCAAACCTCCTGGCCACATTATTTCTTCATAGTCTCACCTTATATGGTTATGTGATTTGACTCCCTTAATGCCCAAAAGGCTGGGAGCTGGAAGTGCTGCCAAGGTAGGGATGAGAGGCGACAGTACCGAGGCCAACAACTTATCCTTTAAAATAGCCCATTATGTCCACCCCCTTCACCATCTCCAGAGAGCTCAAACAACTGCTTTATGATTGCCGTAAGAAGAAAAATCGTCCCACTTTGCTTACCTGGAGTTACAGTTATCCCGGAAAATGCGTGGAGAAGGAAAAGGCAAGTGAGGAGCACAAAGACCTGGAGATAGGCACAACCCTCTCCTGGCCGAAAGAGCAGCTGGCTCACCTGCATGGCGCCCCGCCCATCGTGGCCACGCCCAGCCTGCCGCTGGCTCACCTGCACCGCGCCCCGCCCACCGTGACCACGCCCACCGCTGCACCCTGGCTCTTACTCACGCCGCTTGGCAGCTTCTCCATGATTGAAAGAAATGATTCAGGCTGAAGTTGCTGTTATCTGCACAGCTTCCAAAGGCCTCCAACATGTTCAGACAGGAAGGGGCTGTCGGCAGATCCTGCTTTGGGCTAAATACATACACAATGGGAACATAAAGCCAACCCTACTGGCTCACGCTGGGCCGGAAGGTGAAATATTACGGGAAATAAAAGGAATATACGATGAGAGTAATACTACAAACTTCAACAGGTTAGTGGCACAAAACCTTCATCCTTTACATGTAAACTGCAGTAGCTCATGCTGTGTAAGATCATAGAGAGAAATGGATATATACTGTGTAAGCCTAAAAATTAGGCATCATTGGCAAAATACCTCATACCAAATTGGTAGGAGAAATTGTTTAATGGAGTGGAAGAGGGAGCTCCCAATAAAATCCTGTGAGTTACACACTTTGGGCCTGAGATCTCTTTATGGAGGTGCTCTTGATGAATTCCTGTTTTCCTGCCTTCCTGTGCCTCCTTCATTCCGCAGGACCTCCTCCCTTCCTGCCAAATCTGATTGAGGAAAGGACCCCAAACTCAGCCACTTGCTTCTCTGCTGTGCTCATCTGATATCCCCTATTGTTCACTTACCACATTGTTTCACAAGTCTATTTATCTTACAGTCTCGTCCATGGCACCATGAGAATTTTCAAGGTAAGGACTAAGCCTCGTTCATTTTTTAATACCAATGCTTGGTATACACTTGATATACAATATGTGGTTAGAAAATGCTTGTTGACAGAATGAATGGGAGCAACTCATTAGCTAAAGTAAGATGGACGGAGAGCTTCCCCTACCCCCATCCTGAGTATTTTATTATTAAAATCATAAACTAAGAGTTGGACTCTGAAAGCAGAATTTCAGGCATTGATGAAAGGCATAAGATTGTAAGAGGGGGCTCTGGGCAGGATGCATTTTAAAAATTACCTTATCCAAATGTTGTGGGGAGGACGAGGGTTTGGGAGCAGAGATGAAAATTTGCAAAATGCCTTTACCACTCTTTGCTTGAGAAATCTAAACAAAGTACTTAATCTCTGTAGACTCGGATTCTTCATCAGTAACAGGAGATATACTGAGATATATACAGAGAGAGAGAGACTCTACGTGAAGAGACAATACATACAACATATCTGGCACATAGCAGGGGTTTCCTAATGGTGGGAATTACTACCACTTTGCCCATTCATCAGACAGGCTCAGGGAATAACTCACAGCGGCCAAAAGGCTGAAGCACAATGTTGACACGTAATTTACCACAGTTATTTATGGAACACCTGCTGCATGCTTGCACTATGATCCAAAAAACTTAAGGGACTTGCCCTTAAATCATAAACTTGACTCTTCTCCCTTTCAACGTTTTAATATCCTCTACAACACTCCTGTTCAGCACTTACCCAGCCTGGGAAGAAACATTTCCAGGAATAGAGATTAAGGGACACCCGAGGAAGCCCCAACCAATGTTTTTGGATGATTCTGACTTGTGGAAAGTTATAGGCACCATTGAATTAGGGATATAAGACCTGCTTCCTCCCCCCAAAGTGCTTGCAAATAATCCAGTAAGAAGACAAGAAACGAAAGAACTGAAGTACCTGGCAGCATATAAGGGACGTGCGGAGGACAAAGGGAGGTCAGAGACAAGCGAGAGCTTTTCAGTCCGGGGGCAGCTGGGGAAGGACCGTGGAGGTGGTGACTTTGGACATGAAGAGAACATTCAGGCCTGTGAACAAAGGTCCATAGCCAGGGTGATAGGTTAACAAAAGGTTAAAAAGAAGGTTTCCTGAGCGGTGCCTGTGGCTCAAAGGAGTAGGACGCCAGCCCCTTATGCCCGAGGTGGCGGGTTCAAACCCAGCCCCACCCAAAAACTGCAAAAAAAGAACATTTCCTGTCAAAAGCTTTCACTTGCAGAAGTGTCTCTAGAGATAAGAAGACATACCTGACTGTTCTCACCTTCTCACTGAACCCAAGTAAGGCAAGAAAGCACGAGTTTCACGTGTGACATCGGTACAAGACAAACTGTCAAGGCAAAATGGTGATTCCCATTCAGGGTCAGGAGTATTAAAACTGTGATTCTATATGACTATATTTTTCTCCATGATGACCATAAATTTAAGTTCTTAAAAATTCTACCTTAAAAAAAAACTGGAAAAAAGAAAAGTAGGGGAGGATGGAGTTACCCAGGTAGCTTACATTCTACAAGTAAAAGTCACACATTTTTGAGCCACATTTCTGGAGAACGTGAAGGCTGATTAACTTTAGGAGAGTGTCCTCAAGAACTTCTTACTTTAGGAGAGTGTCCTCAAGAACTTCTTCATTCACCATGTGGGTTTCTATGCTGCCCTCCCATCTCAACTGCTCATGTTAATTGGAGTCTGTGATTGATTAAATAAGCATTTGTTGAATGTGTCAGACCCTGAGCAAGACCATGGAACAGACAGATACCAAGAACACTGAGACCCAGTTATGGATCTCAAGGAGACCACCGTTTAGCTTTAAATTTCTATGCATCTGATACTACAGTAATTGTTATAGTGTAAAAAGCACACTGGGCAGCGCCTGTGGCTCAAAGGGGTAGGGCTCTGGCCCCATATGCTGGAGGTGGTGGGTTCAAGCCCAGCCCTGGCCAAAAACTGCAAAAACTGCAAAAAAAAAAAAAAAAGTACACTGTAAGAAAATGCCTGGAAAGAACCTATTGTCAGTTATGGTAATATGTGGACTTAGAGGCATAAGACGTATAAGAAAAGGTTCTACCCATCCCAGTAACTCAGAGGACAGCCATATTGAAATAACTATGTGTTATTTTTATCATGTGTAATATTTAATCTCTCAACTCTTGAAAAGCCTTTCATGTGGCCTCATGAAAGGTCAACTCTTAAACCCTTTTCATCTCCCTTACTCTTGATGAAGTTTGAATCTGCAGGAAGCACATATGAAACCAGACTTTACAGTTTTCTGTGTATTATACGATTCTCTTATTATGTTTTCTGTTGTTTGCTTCCTCCAGCTAAAATCTAGGCAGGAGGAGTGTGGGGTTCTGTTTTATTCACTGATGTATCCCAAGAACTTAGAATGGTATCTCGCACGTACTGGGTGTAGAAGGAATGAACGGGAGGTAAGCCTACCTAAAAATGAAGCAGCTTGCATAAAACTTTGTCAGTTCAAATCATGATGAATTCAATCCATAAATTTAAAATTGCTTTGACACCAGCTACAGTTTCCTATAGTTCTCTTTATAGATACTAAAGATCACTCCATCTGCTTCATCCCAAACATTTAACATTTATAAACTAAATATTTCTCTAAAAAATATTTAGTGGAAAATGATACACCTATTTGTAGGAAAAAGCATTTGCTCTATAATTTCAAAATAATCCATAACATTCTTCCCCCTCTTTCACTTGCCACAAAAGCCATTTTACTGACCATATGTTGAAAAGAGTAGTTTTCTTTTTTTGAGGGGAGAAATATAACTTGAATAATAAATTATTCATTCATTTATTATGCAATTTTAATGAAACAATAATTTCCTCTAGTACAACAAAGTAATCATTGGCCCAAATGTTTAATAACCTAGGAGACTGTTTGTTGGTGCTATTTCTTACCTATAGGTTGAAACTTTGCAAACATTATAACTCTGATTACTCAGCATTCCAGTTGAGAGATGACTTGACACACCCGGCCACTCCCCAGAACAAATCAAAGGAGCTTTGTTCCAGCATGCTGAGAATCTCCGTCTCCCCTTCCCCTTTCTCCTTCTCCTCTCCCTCCTTCCTCCTCCATCTGCCCCTCCCCTCCCTCTGTCTCTCCTTTCCTAAGAAGTTTCAGCCACAAACTCCTGAGTATTCTCCCCAGAGAATCTACAGATCATCAAGTGGGTTTTTATTCCCACTGATAAGTATAATTCCCACTGATTCACACGACCGCTCTCCTGTACAATAGTGGGATAATGTTAGCCTCGCACATACCACAGGAAGTTCACGATAAAGCCTCCCACCTGGTCACTGGGGATTATTATCTCCTTTTCACATGTGGAGAAAGTGAGTCAGGAAAGATAAAGTGACCTTGTCTTGAAGCTTCTGACTGAGACAGAAAAAAATGTTTTAAAAGCCCCAAATTTATATCCTTTACCCCAATAATCCATTGTGAGAACCCAGCAGTTTGACGCCTTTTGTCTTAGCAACTTCTAGTGTTGGTCTGGAAGAAATCTTACATTACATGATAACCTGTTATGGAAAATAATGTCTGTGAAGTTTTCTACGAAGAAGTAAACTTAAAGGAAAAATAATAATAATAAAAGAAGTGAACTTAAAGGAAAAAAGACAACAGTGAAAAACTAGGAGAGTTAAAGCTGGACCCCAGAGTTAGACTACGGACGACCAGAAGGTCAAAGTGGTACAATTTGCATTTCAGATGCCTTATACTATATGTCAAGGCGTATTGGCACAGGAAATTCAAAAATAAATCACTTAGGTTTCGTTGATGAGTGTAGAAAAGAGTGACATGACAGTGTCAGAAAGAGAATTTCCCTTGGAGCCAATTCTGATCCACAGTCTGCCATTCCTTATGTATTAACCATGAACTTAACTTCTCTGGGCTTCAGACTCTCCATATTACGAAGGTGTGGAGAGGCTGCAGAGGTTGCTCACACTGTAACCCCAGCACTTTAGGAGGCCCAGCTGGGGGGACTGCCTAAGCTCAGGAGACCAGAGCAAGACCCTGTCTCTACTAAAAATAGAAAAATTAGCCAGGTGTGGTAGTGGGCGCCTGTACTGTCAGCTGCTCAGAAGGCTGAGGCAGGGGAATCGCTTCAGCCTAGGAGTTTGAGGTTGCTGTGAACTCTACCTAGGGTG